GACACTATCTACCTGGAGATAGTCATATCCGACAGGTTAAGGGCTTGGTGTTATAAAACTGCCCCCTCCACCTCACACTTTAGATGCCAATCTCAAGTCCAGGATGTCACCAGGGCTTCTGACCAGCAGCCTACAGATCAGAGGTTCCAACGATTTATTTGTTAAGAATGTTTCATAGAACTCAGAGAAACATGTTACTTATTAGATCATCAGTTTATTATAAAGGATATAACTCAAGAACAGCCAGCTGGAAGAGGTGCATAGGGCAAGGTATGGGGAAAGGGTTCGGGGTTTCCACGCCTTCCCCCAGACCACCATTCTCCCCAAATCTCCACGTGCTCACCAGTCTGAAAGCTCTCAGAAACCTCTCCTTCTGGGTTTTCATGGAGGCTTCATTACGCAGGCATGACTGATTAAATCAGTGGCTACTGGCAGGCAAACTCAATTTCTAGCCCCTCTCCCCAACCCCTCCAATCAGGGGTGAGACTGAAAGTTCCAACCTTCTAATCACATGGCTGGTTCCCCTGGTGATAGCCCCCCATCTTGAGGGAATTTCCAAAAGTCACCTTATTACCATAAACTCAGCTGTGACTTAAGGGGGTTTGTTATGAATAACAAGACACCCATTCTACCTTCATGGCTCTGAAGTAATTTCAGAAACTGAGGACAAGACACCTAATATACCAAAAGATGCTCCCATTGCTGTTATCACTCAGGAAATTCCAAGAGTTTGGGGAGCTCTGTGCCAGACATGGGGAAGAGGGTCCTCCTCAGAACTGAACCATGTTGGCACCCAAATCTCAGACTTCCAGCCTCCAGAATGGTGAGAAATAAATTTCTGTTGTTAACAAGCCACCCAGTCTATGGAACTTTGTTAGAGGAGCCAAAACCGACTAAGAGGCCTATGATCTAGCAATTTCATTTCCCTGTATATGTAACAAAGAAACTGAAAGCAGGATCTGGAACAGATATTTGCATACCCGTGTTCACAGAGGCATTATTCACAATAGCCAAGAGGTGGAAGCAACCCAAGTGTCCACTGACAGATGAATGCACAAAAAGGTGATTATTCAGGCAAAACAACAAAAGACTCAGATCCCGGCATGTGCTACAACATGGATGAACCCTGAGGATGTTACGAAATAAGCCAGTCACAAAAAATACGATACGAGTCCACTTATGTGAGGTTATCAAACACAGTCAACTTCACGGAAACAGAAAGCAGAATGGTGTTTGCTAGGGGCTGCTGAGGGGGGATAATGGGGAGAAATCAAGTGAGTTTAAATACTCATGGTCATCAACTGAATCTATAGTCAAACAACAAGAAAAACGTGGTATATGTTAACTCTTCTAAGCTCAAATGATGTAAAACATTATGAAAGTTATTTGACACAATAAAAAAAAGAACATGAGGTCGGGGATGCTTCTACTCTTAATACTATGTATTAGTAGATACATAATTATTTCGAATCAATCAATAGTATGCAATGTGTCTAAAATTAATCAATTAGACTTCATTAATATCATCAGGAGAACAGAAGTAACCTTATGGAGACAACAGTTGAATGGCCCTCATGGGGGAGGACTTGCATTAATGGGCGCTGTAGTAACAGCAGTTCCGTGCAGAAACATTTTCTGGCCGTGGCGTGGAGACTGATGGAGGAGACCCATGTGCACAGAGGTGGTGACCAACACACACAGCAGATAAGCTGGAGGACAAGAGCACAGCACCAGTAGGAGGGACAACGGGGACCAGGTGCACTTTATATGAAGCTAATGGAAAGGAAGATGGGGAACAAGACGGTCTTCTAGTGTTCACTCAAGAATGCAATTTCCAGAAGAGGGACTGGGAGTTTGGGATTAGCAGATGCAAACTATTACATATATGTATGAATGAATCACTTTGCTGTACACCAGAAACTAACACAACACTGCAAATCAATTATACTCCAATATAAAATAAACAAACAAAAAAAAAGGAATGGAGTTTCCAGAACGTTAGAAGTTTTGCAGGAAATACAGGTGTCAGAAACAACAGTGGAGAAGAAGTTCATAAAGTGCAAGAAATGGGCTAAATTTTCTATAAAACACAACGGCATATATAAGTATTAATTCACTATATCAACACGGACATTAATGAACCTAGACAGGGAGCATGATTATTAGAATATCACAGTCATGCCCCAAAATAAAAGCTCAGTGAAATTTATATAAAATTCAACAAATTATATACAGAAAATTGAAAACATACAATAGAAAAAGCAATGAATTTTATATAACACATTATGGCAAGGCAATCAAATGGTATTCCTGGGATTAAGAGAGTGACAATAAAGAATACATATATTCTCAAGATATTAAAAATCTCAACTTAAAAATTGTAATAAATTTAATTTAATATTTGGTACTCAGGTGAAAAGAAGTAGAAGGAATTAATGAGACTATGTTTTCAAAATATTCTGGACTAAGTGTAGGATTTAGGGAAACAGCTGCTGAGCCATACCCCCAACTCCAAAGGAGGAAATACTGTAATATATAGAAAACAATATCCACTCCCTAATCCCCCCCTCCCACACACTGCAAATATGAAACAAAGAACACAAAGAGTAGCAGCGGCTTAAACACAACAAATTACGGTACTCCACTGAAGGCATCATTCAGCTTCATAAGTTCCCTCACTAAATTGCTTCAAAATAATGTGTTGAGGTAGACTGAACAATGGCACACACAGAGGATAAAAAATGTGGTATGGACAATAGTTTAGTCAACAGCCTCAGAGATATGAGGATATGATCTTCATAACAAATGTTCCCAGCAGAAATTCGTGTGTTATTTATTGTGGCACAAAGGGGATGGTCATTCGCATATGTGAACACCATTGTCACAGTGTCCTTGAGAGATGCTTTCATGACACTCCTCCAAACTGGAAAGATTACTGAAAACACTTATCAGTCAGGCTCTCCTGATACTTTCCACCTCAGTATCCTGGGACATGCTGACCACTCTACTGAGTAGCTTCAAGTGGTGCTTCTTATGTAGCAGGATAACGTCGCAAGATATGAGTGACAGTATTCTCCATCAAGAATTTTGTTACCAAGGAAACCCACTCCATAGGAGAATCCACCAAAAATCGTCCGTTACTTAAAGGTGGATGATCACGGCAAAAAAATAGGATAAAATTTCAGACCCTAGGACTGTGTATTTCAGAAGCAAGTTTCAGGGGCAAATTCATGCAAACTTAAGAGAATATGAAATCTGGAAGAGTCTATATTACCCAACTAGATAGAGTAGTGCAAGAGGCAGGAAGATACAAGATGTGGGGGCAGATCTTGTAGGATCTTGAGAAGGGACCATGTGCTCTATCCACAGATGCCAAGCTAAGAGCCTGAAAGACTGGCACATGCTCCTCATGTAGGACTGGGGATTAAAAAGATCTCTCTGTCCACCGTCTTTACAGTATCCCTAAGTAACAATCACAGATGATCCAACCCACCTCCCGTTACACACCCCCAAGCTGTGTGACAAAAATAGAACAGGGGCTTCCCTGGTGGCGCAGTGGTTGAGAATCTGCCTGCCAATGCTGGGGACACGGGTTCGAGCCCTGGTCTGGGAAGATCCCACATGCTGCGGAACAACTGGGCCCGTTAGCCACAGCTACTGAGCCTGTGCGTCTGGAGCCTGTGCTCCGCAACAAGAGAGGCCGCGATGGTGAGAGGCCAGCGCACCGTGATGAAGAGTGGCCCCCGCTCCCCGCAACTAGAGAAAGCCCTCGCACAGAAATGAAGACCCAACACAGACAAAATAAATTAATTAATTAAAAAAAAAAAAGAACAGGAGGAAGGGTGGAGGGATTTGAACAGGCAGGCAGGGCTTGAGACAGCCCCATGCAGGTTCTGGGGTGACAGATGGAATCAAAGAGCAGCCAGTGTTTTCTCATCTCCTGATTAGGTCTCCTAAGTACAGCAAATGGAGATGGAACTGGGAAAGGTCCAGGGGTTAGGACTGTGGAGATGTCAGCTCTGATCAATATGGACTAAGAACTAAGCATCTGATGGAATCAAGAACAGAACGAGAGACCAAGGGGAAAAGAGACCCCTTTCAAACATCCCGTCCCACGCTCCTCAAGGAGCCAAAGAGTTCACAGGAGCCAGATGATGGGGTGTAGATCATGATAAAAACTCTGCCTTTGTCTGTTTTGGAGCTGCAGCACCCCTGAAGGGTGAAAAGACACATTTTACATGTTGAAGGACAGAGTGGTAAGTTAGGGAGGAGAAAAATTTCCTCTGAGAGTTCACAAGAAATAAACTTCTGTTTTTCCATAGAACTCTCCCACTTAAGGAAAGTTTCCCAAACACTATTAATGGTGAGGTTTCCTCTCTGCTCTTCTGAGCTCCGACCTGTGTTGGCACCTTTGATACGTTCCCATTCATTTGATTTTTTGCTATTTTTCACTTCACTCTGCAGAGCCCAGAGCTCTTTCCCTTGCTCCAAAATGGAGATGATATTCACAACAGAAAGAAATTCGTACTCATAAAAAGAAAGGAACATGGTGTCCTGTGGCGTTTCCAGAATCCCAGTTCCTTGTTCAGGTGAGGAGTGAGGACATTACACATGGGTCTGGAGAAACATTTCACAAATTCATCCACCACCTCCTTCTGAATACACAGGGAACAGTATAATATGCAGACATCTAGCTCTCTTCCTAGAACTACTGAATCAAAAGCACAGGGGTAGAAAACAAGAAATTTTATATATTAAGAGTTTGCCATTGGGCTTTGTAAATACTGAAGCTCTGGAACAACTAGTATATCATGAAATGGGCAGATTCCTGAAGAAAAGCAATTTTAAACTCCTGATGTCGAATCATAAAGCTTTTTATGTCTGAGTCAACAGGGCTTTCAGGTCAGTCAAGCAAAACAGGGCCTCCCAAGAGGCACACAAGGGAAAATGCAAACATACGCAAGGGCAGATCCCAACTTCTAGAGGGAAGTTATCCTCACCCAGGGAGAGCAGGTTCCCGTAGGTCTCCAACATCACGTCCCGGTACAAGGCTCTCTGAGCCGGGTCCAGGCATTCCCACTCTTCCCGAGAGAACGTGATGGCCACATCCTCAAAGGTCAACTGTCCCTGAAACAAAAGATACATCTCACCAAGGGGCCATGAGGAGAGTTCTTACCGTCACATAAAAGGAGAAGAGAGAGGATCAACTGGGTTGAAGAGTGCGTTCTGACAGATTTGAGTAAAGGCATTTTGAGCAAGTTATATGCCTGAAATTTTAGTTTCTTTGCTTCCACAAAAGATTACGCTACCCTCCGAGTCAGTGTGGATTACTGGTTTTTGTGGATGATACATGAAATATACAAGTAAAAACGCAACACGGGTTGTCTACACAGGAGTGTCAGATATTCAGTATGCAGATCAGCTAGGACATGAGTGGTGTCTTCAGAGGCGACTCCACAGTGGCTTTACCGAGAGATCAGGATCTTAAAATTGTGATGAGGATAACAAAGAACAATGATGAAACGCATGTGAACACGTCCTATGTGCTAAGCATTACGCTTGGGACTTTACATATATTAACTTGTTACCGACATAATAGCTCATTAGAGAAAGACCTGTTCCCACTTTACAGAGGAGAAAACTGTGTCACAGACACTCTAAGAAACTCGCCTCAGATCAAATAGCTAAGAAATGACACAGCGAGCACCTGAACTCAGGTGGTCGGCCCCTATTCAAACCTAAACAATCAAAGTTAAGTACAGCATGAAAAGTACCCTGACAGAGGGCTCCCTGAAAAACCCTGAAACATACAAGGTGAACAACGTGCAAATGCATAAAAAGTCATATATAAATACATACGTGTCTACACATAATGTTACCATTTTTGCTACTATTTAAATTATTACTGGGATAGTGTAAAAGAGGATTAACATGTAATTTCAACTGCTAAAAAAATATAAAACTTATTTATAAAATATTTTATAAAAGCCATGGACTTTCACATCCATGCACTAATGCACACACATGTAGACACACCATTCACTAAAATGAGAGCAGCTGTCTCAACATATTTTGGATGACTTTTTAAATTATTTTGATCAATGTATTTCAACATCTCTGGGACAATGAAAATGTACTAAGTGTACTTAATTTAGTTTGTCAACATTATTCTATAGTAGGTTAGTAAAACACAGATACAAACATGAAGAAATATATAATGCTTTAATGTCTATAAAATACATATACTCAAAAATACAAATATAATTTTATCCATTTAAATTTAGATATGTAGCTATTAAAAAAAGCCAAACCAAGTTTATTTGTTTATTCCAGTAATAAAATATTGATTCAAAATTGGAAGGGTTCTTAGTGGTGTACATTAATTTAACAGATTAAGGAAAGAAATGATCAAAATAGTAGAGTTGAAAAATTCTTGGATAATTAAAAATCATGACAAAAAGAATACTAAAAAAAAAACAAAACAAACTTTTATTGAGCAAACTGAAGCATCAGAGAAGATTGGCAAGTCCGAAGAAGGGCATTTTGGAAGGACAGACAAAATAATCAACTGACAATACGACTTTACCTGACTCACAGCCATTCCTGACTCCTTTTCTTTCCTCTCCCTCCTCTTCCAGGCTTCTTCCTCAGACAACATGAGTCTTTAGAGGTTGACCTTGAAAGTTGGAAAGATGCTGTTTAATGCATAGAATCAACACACCCCCTTCCTGAGTCACCACCACACACACAGGGAAGCCCTCAGCATGTGGAACAGACGGTCCTCTGCTGCCCACTGTCCCAGGAGGGACTCAGGACAGTAACTCCCACACAGAGACCAACAGGTAAGTTTCCCCACACTTTCCATCAGATCTCGCTCCCCTCCTGGTGAGGCCCTCACGTACCCAGCAGCAGCGGGCACCTCAGCTGGACCCGACGATCCCCTTCAGGTCACCGACCAGCCCTGATCCACCCCCACGCAGAGCAGAGCCCTCACCCTCAGCCCAGATCTCAGCCCTCAGGAATGGGGGGACTCAGAGTCCTGATGCTCACTGACGGATCCAGATTGGAACATCCTGGGGCAACATAGATATTATCGAGCTTTGGTCTCACACTGACTACATGAAGAGGAATCCCTGGTCAGAGGGTACAAAACATGTCTATGCATAAAGCCTCATCGATCTAATGGGAAGACTGGGTTGAGCACCACTCACAGGAGGCAAGCCCAGCACAGCCCCCACTTTCTTATTCTTTCCCAGCTTAATCGAGGTGTAACTGACGAACAAAAATGGTGCACATATAAGGTGTACGATGTGATTACTTGACAGATGTATACACTGTGAAATAATTATCACAATCAAGTAATTACACTTCCATCAACCCACAATTACCGTCTTGTGTCTGCGTGGTGAGAACACTTAACATTTATTCTCTCTGCAAAATTCAAGCATATAGAAATACACTACAATCAACTACAGTCAGCATGCTGCACACTAGCTCCCCAGAACTCAACTCATTTTACAACTGAAAGTTTACCCCTTTGACCAAAATCTCCCCATTTTCACCAACTCCCGGACCTTGGTAACCACCATTCTACTCTCTGGTTCTATGAGTTTAACTTTTTCAGTTTCCACACATTAGCGAGATCAGACAGTATGTCTTTCTAGGTCTGGCTTAGTTTACTCAGCAGAATGTCCTCCATGTTCATCCACGGTGTCATAAATGGCAGGACCCTTCATTTTTACGGCTGAATAATAATAGTTCATGGTATGTATATAACACATTTTTGTTATGCATTTGTCTGTCACCAGACCTTCATGTTGTTTCTACATCTTAGCTGCTATGACTAATGCAGGGATGCTCACAGGAGTGCAGGTATCTCCTTCCAAATACTGATTTTGTCTCCTTTGCATCAACAGCCAGAACGGGCTTGCTAGGCGGTCTGCCTGACCTATTTTCAAGTTTTGAAGAAACTCCACATTGAGTTCCACAACTGCTGTACCATTTACATTCCCACCAACAGTGTAGGAGGGTTCCCTTTTATCCCCACCCTTGCCAATACTTGTTATCTCTTACCTACTGGCTAACAGCCATTCTGAAAGGTGTGACACCTCCCTGTGGGTCTGCTCTCCCCTGAGGCCTGGTTCTCACCAGGACTCGGCCAGTGGAAGGGGAAGAAGCAGAAGGAAACGTGCAGAGCAGGCGTTAGGGACCAGAGGTGGGGGTGAGGGTGTGGCTGGCATGTTAAATGGGAGGGGGGTGGTCAGAGAAGGCTCCACTCAGACGCTGACATCAGACCACAGACCTGGGGGAAGAAGCGTGTTTGCCACCTGGATCTGAGGGACAGCCCCTGTGAGGGCCCTGGGACAGCAGGAACCTTGACCCCAGGAAAAGGAAGGAGCCTTGGGTGCCTGCAGCAGGGTGAGGAGATGGGCGGGAGGGGAGGTCAGAGAGGCACCAGGGGAAGCAGATGACGAAGGGCCTTGGTCTCTAAGCATTTTCCTTCCATAAGAAAAAAAGAATTTTAGCAACCACATATTCCATCACTCGTTTTAAGTAAACATCTAATATTTTTGTATCTTACATTTTAGAACAATTACACATAACATAGTGTTTTATATATTTTATATACATACCAAAATGTTCATCAGAGCCCCAGGAAGCATGGTGTCGCCCTCAAGCAAGATGTGTTAGACGGCAGGGGGAACACAGTCAGGGATCTCAAGGAGTCAGTTTCGGACAAATTAAGGCGGAGATGCCTGTTAGATGTCCCAGCAGAGATGTCGAGGAGACAGGTGGACACAGGATTCCAGACTTTAAGGGAGAGATGTGGGCTTGAGAGGGCAAACTGGGAGACGGGCAAGTGGTGTTGAAAACTCTTGAGAAGAGATGATGAGGAAAGGCAGCGGATGTAGACAAGAGAAGAGGTTCAACGACTAAAACTTTTGGAGGCTGCCACGTTCAGAAACCAGGGTGTTCAGAAAAATTCATCAGAGGACAGCGAGAAGGGAACAGGGAAGTGAGAAGAAAATTGAAGCAAACGGACTTTTAAAGGTTAAATCAGTCTTTCAAGAAAATCAGTCTTTCAAGAAAATCAGTCTTTCAAGGAAGAAGGAGTGATCCAGTGCGCAACATGCTGCCGATACAACAAGCAAGATGAGAAGAGGAAATAAATTATTCGATTGAGAGATGAGGTCATTGGTGACTCTGGAAAAGAAAGTATCAGTAGATGGTGGATGTGAAAGCTTGATTGGGTGGGGTTCACAGGGGAACTAGAGGCTAGAATTGAAGACAAAGAATATAAACAAGTTTGTAGTATACTGTGCTCTGAAATGGAGCATTGAGAAAAGGTACTTAGTAGTGGGGAAAATGTAGTTAATTAAGAATGCTTTGTTTTTTTCGGTTTTTTTTTTGCGGTACACGGGCCCCTCACTGCTGTGGCCTCTCCCGTTGCGGAGCACAGGCTCCGGACGCGCAGGCTCACCGGCCATGGCTCACGGGCCCAGCCACTCCGCGGCATGTGGGATCTTCCCGGACCGGGGCATGAACCCGTGTCCCCTGCATCGGCAGGTGGACTCTCAACCACTGCGCCACCAGGGAAGTCCAAGAATGCTTTGTTTTAAAGATGGTAGAGTGAGCTTCCCTGGTGGCGCAGTGGTTGAGAATCCGCCTGCCAATGCAGGGGACACGGGTTCCAGCCCTGGTCCAGGAGGATCCCACATGCCGCGGAGCAACCTAAGCCTGTGCGCCACAACTACTGAGCCTGCGCTCTAGAGCCCTCGAGCCACAACTATTGAGCCCGCGTGCCACAACTACTGAAACCCACATGCTAGAGCCCGTGCTCTGCAACAAGAGAAGCCACTGCAATGAGAAGCCCGAGCACTGCAACAAAGAGTAGCCCCCACTTGCTGCAACTAGAGAAAGCCTGCGTGCAGCAATGAAGACCCAACGCAGCCAAAATAAATTAATTAATTTAAAAAAAAAAGAAAGAGTGCTACTTCCAATAGAACATCTTTAAAAAAATAAAGATGGTAGAGTGCATAAAAAGGTTTTGGCGTGTGTGTGTGTGTGTTGGTCCTTGTGTGTAAGATAGGCAACACCACCATTTGTGTATGCTGATGAAAATAACCCCCTAAAAGTCAAATACATGATGCAGTGGAGGAAGGATGCCATGCCGTCCTGACAGAGTGAAGCTGGCAACAAGGGCACAATCGCACGGTCAGCCGCAGCCAGAAGCAGGGACAGACTCTTCACAGTTGGTACTGAGGAGACAACACAGGCCCTGAGGCAGATGGGTGAGCCAGTTAGAGGAGATCTCTTCCCTTCGCTCCAGGGGCTCAATGAAGAAGAAACAGGGCCTTTGAGAGAAAAGACGGGAGAGGATGAATTGGACTTATGAGGGCCTGTAAAGGAAGGGCATGGAGCAGACACATAGGGAATGTGAGGGAACAGAGCCAGGAATCTGAAGTGAGACCAGTCAATCTGGGGGTGTGCTTTTCTCCAGCTGCGATGAGCCACACGGGGACAGCACAGAGGAGGCACAGCTGGATGTGATGGGGATGCCAGGGAGGGCAAGGAAGTAGAGGGTCACAGGAGAATGAGTGCACACGTCCTTTGCTTTGGGGCATCTGACTTGCACGGCTGTAAGTAAGTGACAGTGTGCTTGTCTCCATTATGGAAAAACAACCTGGATAAGGTAGTACCCCACTGGCTTATCATTTTACCCCTGATGCAGACAAAACAAGCCTGGGCTATAGTACACACTCCGTATGTAGTCAGCAAATTAATGAGAGGGGCACAGAGTGAAACTCGTACACCCTCCGGCATGGTCTTCACTTTGGGGGACAGATGTGTGCAGGTGTCCTTTGCCCTGGAAAGAGTGAGGCAGGAGCTGACCAGGAACAGCAGAAATGGGTCTAGCCAAGGGTCCTCCATCCAGACAATGCCCCTTACCCTCAACAAGTGCAAAGGGCAAGTGTAAGTTCAACCGGGACCGCAGTGAGCTCAACCAAGGGGTAGCTGCCTCAGGCTGAGCAAGACCCATTTCAGAAATAAAAGAGCCTAAAATCAGCAGAAAAAGGAGAGGCCTCCCGGCTGCCTAGACCCCTCGATGGAGAAAAGGTCTCGGTGTCTAGGATTTCTCACTCTGCAATGACATTGGCTTAAAAAAAAATCACAACCTGGGACTTCCCTGGCGGCCCAGTGGTTAAGACTCTGTGCTTCCAACGCAGGGGGCACAGGTTCGATCCCTGGTCAGGGAAGTAAGATCCCATATGCTGCGGTGGGGCTGGGGGGTGGGAGGGTCACAGCCTGAAATCCTGACTTGATTGGGTTGGTTGGGATTGTGCAAAGCAACAGCAGAAGCACAGCAGGAAGTGGGTGTCTGAACCGAACAGTAGAGGGGAAGCTGGAAGACTTGAGGGAGGCAAGGCACAAAGAGAGAAAACACGTTTCTTCCTCAAGTCACCTACCTGGGGAACCACCAGCACTGCCATTCTAGCGAACACAACAGAGAAACGTGTATGAAGGGCGAGTGTGTGTTGGGTAGGAACACAAGTTCCTTTCTGTCATCTGACCTCATCAGCTCACCCCATTCTACACTCTACTAACTGCTGAGCCCCAGATCCACTGGTGAGTATGAACAGAGCTTTTCCTTCATCCCACTCCTGAGTTTTCCTGCAAATACCAGGGCTGTAACTCCCCAAATGAGGCTCCTCTTCCTGCCTCCAAATTCCCTTCTCAGACCATAGCAGCCCTTCTCATTGGTTCCGCATTTAGTTTAAAACATCTTGCTCATCTGCTCCCCAGCTGCCTTGTGACTGGTGTGTGTGTGTGTGTGTGTGTGTGTGTGTGTGTGTGTGGTGTTTTGGGACAGATGTGCAGAGGACAGTAGAGAACCCACCAATGGCCTGTTAGGAAGAAAGTAGAAGCTGCATTTTCTCAACAATGAGCCTTTGTACTTCAATTCACCTTGGTGTTGACTGCCCCTGATTCCTGGAACAATCCTTCCCCGAGTCATAGGGCGTTATGGCCCCTCTCAAGTTGTGCCCATAGACACATCCCCCACAGGTCCTCCGTATGAAACTTTTCTGCCATCTGCAGCTCAAGACCCAATGTTTCCCTTCTGGAGTCATACAGACTTACGAAGTCTCATGCGGCCCAAGACACTCCCAAGACACCCCATAATGATCCCTTACCCTACTATGAAACCCCACAAAACATTCCAAACCCTAATAACTCATGCATTTAGATGGAACAGTTCACATGAAGACCCTCGAGGACCCACTAGACTGAAGACACCATATTTTCATTCAGTGACCTCAGCACAAACACTGTCATCTCCAAAAACTACTACTAAAAGAGGTGTCTCCAGTGATACACATGTCCCAACAAGACCCCAACATCTTTGAAGAAAACACTCCAAATTCTCTTTCGTATCTTCCAAAATGCTACTGGAACTTTCTTCACCTGCAACTCAAAATATCTCAAAACACAAAAGGTAACCCAGAAAATGATCTCTGAAGGTTTTCCCTGTAATTACTATATGGGATGCATGATGATTCTTGCCTTCCCAAAAGATCCCACAGACGTCACTGAGTGGCGTGGATTCTGTGGGACACCCTCTAGGCACCCGTTAGGACCAACACCCCATCATCCTGCATACAGAGCTCGCCCTGTGGGCTCAGCTCAGGCCTTGATTCTAACAATATCACAGGAATACATCTCTCTCTGCCAAATCCACTGCCTTCATTCCTCCACAGGTGTGATCATGAGTTACTTGATTAAACCCATGCGTGCAAATCTCAGTCTCCGCATCTGTGTCCCAGGAAACGTGAGCTAAGACACTAGAGCACCCCAAACCATTCCATGCAGCCCACAACCACCCATAAACCCACTTGCAGATGCTCCAGCCAGAACTGCAGCATCCCTTGCCAACAGTTCCACACACCCCATGATCCCACAACTCTGCTTGGGACAGGTGCACACACCATTCATTGGGCTCATCGAGAGGCCCACACTTACTTCCGTATCCCTCCGGCAGACACCTACAGGCTCCTCTCCACTTTCTCCATTTTTCCTGCTTTCCTTCATGCATGCCTGAGCAAACAGGGCTGAAAGACACAGAGACCTATGGGCACAGGATCGCGAGAGGAACACACACAAGCTACAAACTGAAGGGCACTGGGCATTCAGTATGGAGATCAAGAAGGTGGTCCTCCTGGGAAAACGCTGAAAGCGGTCAGCTTGGAAATAAGCTCTGGGCAAACGTCTTCATCATGAATAGAGGGGCTCTGTAGGAAGAAGGTTCCGGGTCAATCCAGCCCATTCTTCATCACTTGCAGAGAACAGACAAGAGGTACTTGAGAGGCACATCTACTTAGTAGCTCACAGATCACATAAAAGGGAAGAAAACGCAATACTAGATTGACTGACGGAACTCACTTTCAACTGTTAAAAGATCACTGACATCCTTACCAAGTACTCATTGAAACAGGCCCTCACCCATCCTCTACGTTGCCATCTGTTCTCACTCATTCTTATTTTCACCTTAGTTTTCCTATTTCTCTATCAACCGCTCTGTCTCTGCTTCTCCTGATCCCCCTCGCCCACATATTTACCGTGATGTCGACTGAATTAAGATGCCCGCCCAGCGGAAGTGCACATTTTCCAGCGGGGTGGACTTTGAGACCGAAGAACACTGAGCGTCACACGGCTGGCCCAGGTCACCTCCCCCTATGCGGGGTGAGGGGAAGGGCTGACTAAGAAGCGGAGGCCGGGGGAGCAGAAGGACCGGCCTGAGGAAGACACGAAAAAAGACTGGCGTGGAGGAAGGGGGTCTCAGGAGAGGGGCGGGCTCTCCAGAATCCCGGGACCGGGGAGAGGACGCGGCCTGTCCGGGAGCGGGGCGGCCAGCGCTGCCCTCCAGGGGCCGAGAGGGCGAGACTGGGGTGGAGCGAATCCACCTCACAGAAGAGGACTTCACAGAGGGGGCGGAGGTCAGTAAAGGATTTTAACCAGGAAAATGCAGCGAAAAAGAAGCGAAAAGAAAAGCCAAAGGAACGAACTAGCCTCAGAGCGATTTCAAACCCAGAGGGAAACGACCCCTGCCCTGTGACGGCGACGTCTGGACTTACTTGGGGCGGAGGGGCAGGTGCGGTGATTTTAAGGTCCGTAGTGACTCCCACACCCAGAGGATGGGTTGGGGTGGGGGTTGTGAAGCGCAAATTTACACTAGAAAGAAGAAACTTACGCTCCTCCTGTGACCTTCGCTCCGCGCTCTCCGCTTCCGGGTCCGTTGGCAACTGCGCACGCGCGGAGTTGAGCGGCGGGGGCGGGGCCTGGGCGGAGCGCTACCGCGAGGGGCGGTACGTGGGGCCCAGGTCTGCGCGGCCCCAGGAGAAGGCGGGGAAGGGTGCGTCCCTCCGCCTAGCTGCGAAGGAGTA